GGCAATAGAGCATTTTGATTGGTTGATTTTAGTTATTGGCCCTCTGACTGCCCGAGTCATGTAATATTCTCCCATACCGGCTCCACTTCCATCCTCCTTACCATGTTTAGACGAGGGTATGTCAATATGGATAAAGACCATTTTTTTGCTAACATCCAGTGTGATTGATATAAAAGGTAAAGTCTGTTTACGAGCCTAGTGGCCCATTAGGCCGGTGCTTAACTCCGGTTTCTGTAGCATGAAGCGACTAGGAGTATGTCTGCTCCCCCTGGATGGGATGCTAGTCCATCGCAGGGTTACCTCCAGCATTAAACTGCCGGTACCCATTTATACACCTGGGTGAAGAGAGGCACTGTGAGAGTGAAGTGTCTTGCCTAAGAACACAATACAATGTCTCGGCCGGGGCACGAACCAGGACCACTCGATCTGGAGTCAAGGGCACTAACCATGAGGCCACCATGCCTCCACAGTGTGATTAATATAGCTTCAGATAAGGGTAGTAAAGAACACACAGCAACTCTAAAACTTTATGTAAAAAAGCATGAAGCTATCTAAATGTAAGTTAAAACGTGCTTCTTCTGATCTTTAAAAATTACATCCTCAGTTAGTGTATTACTGTCTCTAAGCTTTTAACTCCCTCAGGTGACCAAGACAGAATTTTCATTACATTACCAATGCAACGTCAAGCAGACTAGTGACGAGAATAATTAAAAATTATTCCACAAGTGTGCATTGGGTATGAGATGATAGTAGCCAACAAGGCACATAGCACCAAGTTGGCTATAATCATCTCATATCCAACAAGCGCAAGTGAAATAATTGTTTTATTAAAAAAAATGCTCCCAAGATATTAGACAAATCTTCTCGACTTTGTTTTGTAAGAAGAAATGGGATGTTAAAATGTACAGACATTAGATTATGGTATATTGGTTCATACACCATAATGGCTAAGCCAATAAAAAGTCTTGAATTGCATTATCCAATGATACAGTTTTTAATAAAGAAAAATATCAATTAGGGGATTATGAGTTAATCTAATACCAAATTCTTGAAACTCACATCATAAGAATTGTATAGTAGACAGTAAAGAGAATTTAGTAATGAGATCTAGGGAGTAAAGGGTGAAGAGTAGATGGCAATTTAAGAATTGAAATACAATGGAGCACTGAATTAATTATTTCATATTTACTCCTTATGTGAGTGTTTTGATTTTTCAGGACAGACGACTAAACCGTATATCATTGTGGACTTTCGTTTTCCTGTCCGGAAATGTGTTCTTTATTTATTATGTTTTCTACAACCAACACTTAGAGAACTGGTAAGAAATGATTGTTTAAGTAAGATGCATTAATTTTATTTGTATGTATCTTGAAAAGTTGGAGTGTTCAATAATGATAACAATAGTAACAAGTCATGGTTTGAGATATACACTTTATCAACTGTACTTCACAATAACAGATGGTTTTGTCTGAAGTTTAATTTTTAGGAAGCCTTTCTTCAGTAGGATGGATGTGTGGACAGTGTTTTGGTGTGTGGGTATAACAGGTAAGTTGCTGAAGTTCATTTGAACAGTTAGTGTCGGGTGGAATTCAGTTCTTAAAACTCAGCTCATGATTATAACATGTTTCCTTTTATAGATTTTGTGATTCGATTTATTACGATGGCATTGAAATCCATGGTTGTTGTTCAACACAGAAAGATCATCCCATTTCGTCGAAGGGTAATTATTTTATCAAGACACATGATAATACTACTGGTTTATTTGATAACTAACAGAAAGACTGTCAAAGAGTCCATTTGCATGATGGTTTTGCCATAGAGGTGTGGATAAGTTGTCCCAAATATTTCATGTGCTACATACAACTGTAATCTGAAATACCAGTTTGCATCATGAATGTATTCAAGAAGAATTTTATCATTATTGTCAGCCAGTTCTTAGGTGCTCTTCTCAGGTAAAGCTAGACAATGATAACTTAAATCAACACCATGACACCTGAGCTGCTCGATACTGCCCATGCTGCAGGATTTTCTCCTCCTCCCTCTCCCCCTACCTCCCCCTATACCTCCCCCTACCCCCTTGACTGCTACCCAGTTAGCCCAATGGATAGAGCACTGGACTGTTGTGTGGGAGGTCGAGGGTTCGCGCCCCAGCCGGATCAACACTCAAGGTCTTAAAATAATTGAGAAGAATTTGCTACCTTTCTATAACATCAAGAAATGGTTAGATATTCTAGTCTTCTCAGATAGGGGCAAATAAATGGAAGTCCCATCTCCTGCAGGGTTGGGGTAGTTTAGTTTAAGTTTAAGTTTAATCCATTCGCCACCGGAGTGGCAGGGGAAAGGAACAGGACTTTCGTCCCAATTGACAACTAACCCCTTTGTACCCACCATCCCACCCCGGGGAGGACATCTATCACACAGTAATCTCGTACGTGGGAAATTAACGTCTCCTACCCCAACCCTGCAGGAGACAGGACCTCCATTTATTCGTCCCTATCCGAGAAGACTGGAATATCTAACCATTTCCAGGGTAGGAGATGTTAAATTCCCACACACAAGATTACAGTGTGATGGATGTCCTCCCCTGGAGTGGGATAGGTGAGAAGGTGAGATCAATGGACTGAAGCGGCTGCCAGAGGCGCCTGATATACTGACGTCTGTTCTCAACCTTAAACTGTACCTGTAATTCAGCCTCAGGCTGTAAGTGGTCAGAAATAAACTATGTTACATATATTACCCTCCCCCTACCTCCCCTACAAAGTGGAATTTTGTTCCCAAATTTTCTCTATTGTTAGAGGATCAATAAAGCAATCAGAATCTGTCCTTTTTACATATATTTTGATGACTTCAGAGAGTACTTGAAAGGCATCATTTAGTGTTTTCAGTTAAGTATACATCTTGGCAATATGGCCTATGAGTGGTACACATGCAACATTTTCAAGTCAGCTTTTCTGTTCCATTCCGATTGAACTATACCTTCCAGAGCTTAACATGAATTAAGGAAAGCTTGTACAGTATGGTACTTGTGCAGAAAGCTTTTTGAGACATGTTGACATGATTCTCGTTGTTCAATTTCACTTGTAGGGAAAGTACTACCTGTTGATAGAAAATTTCTCGCATTTGTACCGCATGCTGGTACCCATTCCACTGTGGTTTGCCTTTTTCACGGAATACAATTATGGAGGCGAATACTTTGCTGTCATAGCAACAACAGTGTACTTGCTACTTAAGGTAGGAATAACTGGCCCACACAATTTACAAAGTGTTGCATACACAGCCTCAGTTGGGCTGTATGAGACACTCTAAAAATCCCTTAAACCTTAAGAGAGACTAGCATCTACTTTCTCCTGACAGAAATACTTATGAATTATCCATTGGAATTATGAGAATTAAGGAAATGATCACAAACCAAGAAGCTTTGATTATTAAACTAAATGTATAGAGAACAGTATGGAGAATACAGGTATGGATGTTAGAGAGTAAAGGATTAATGCAGCTCCTGTATTGTTGTTACAGGTATTTCAGATTTTCAAACATTGTAGGGAAACTTAGGTAAAGGACAACAACAAAACCAAGACTCATTTTATTGTTGCACAGTATTAGAGGTATCGCATAGGTCATGGGTTCTAATCCCGTATAGGCCTGAATTCTTTTCAGGCCTTATTTTCACTGCTGCTTAAGGCTGGTTTTCACTTGCGACGGAGTCGWAGTCGGAGTCGTAATCAGAAGCGTGGAGCAATACTATCTAGTGAAAATCAAACCGACGGAGTCGGAAGCAGAACACCGATTCTGCCTATAACTCCGTCGCTTACGATCTAGTGAAAACTGCATTGTGGGAGTCGGAAGCGGAAGCGGAAGAATAAACCAATCACTATGCTCGATTCCAGGCCCACGAAAGTACAAATTTTGGCGCTGCTTAAGCTGTGTTCATTACTGCAATGATTGCTCTCAAATTACTCAGATTGGTACAATTTTTGGGGTTTAAGAATGTGTTTTATCTTATTCAGGCTCGTATGATTGTCAACAAAATTCAAGAAGTGTATGCTGCTTGCAAAGTTTTTGGTCACGATGTGGTAAGAGACATTCAACATATTTACACAGTTCCATTTTGATAGAACTTAATTCAATAAAGGTGTCATCCAGAATTGTACAATGTAGAACCAGTAGGAAGGTGGAAAGCAACAGCAGAATATGCTATGTGAAGGTTTCCTGTCTGAATACAAACATTTTAAAGGCCACAGAAATTTAATTAGAAAATTTTGTACCATAGCGGGAAAGTTAATGTGTGATCTTTGAGGTCTAAAGAACATCCTATTTTAACCGTTGTTGTTGTAATGATAAATGTTCTTAAAATTTGTTTGTTGGCGTTCATTTGTATTACCTTACAACATGGCTCACCTTCTTTCAACTTTTGTTTGCTAATATTTTTTGCGTAGCAATATGGTTCACCCCCCACTAAAGAAGAAACGGTTGAGGCAGGAAACTCGTGTCCAATTTGTCAGGAAGAACTAAAGGATCCTATCAAGCTCCGTGCATGCAAGGTACTGCATTACCAGCATAAGTGATAACTGTTAATCTGAATGAGAGACTGTTTGTAGTTGGGGTCAAACCTTTCCTAATATGGTAATATTCAAGTGAGTGTCGACAGTAACCTCCAATCCACTGGTTTTGATTTAAATAACTTTGTTTTGTGATTGGTTCAGAAAACTCACTCCAGTTTCTCAACCAATCAGATTCAAACCTTAAAGCAAACGTTTCCTTGCGCTTTGTTTTCACTTTGAGTTCTGATTTGCTCCTTGTGATACATCCTTCGTTCTCATCATTGGCTGTAGTGATTTCTTTGGTTTTGATCGAAATTCCCTCCAGTTAACCAACCCAAAGTAGCTTTTTTCCCCCTATGTTCACTCTTAATTCGTTAACTTTTTTGTTTCTATGCAAACAGCACATATTCTGTGAGGATTGCATATCCCTTTGGTTTGACCGAGAGCGTACCTGCCCTATGTGCCGAGCCAAGGTGGTGGCAGACCCTACCTGGAGAGACGGCAGCACGGCCACATACGTCATACTCTTTTGAAACGAATTTCAATCACTGAAACATTGCCTTGGGATGGCTCCTGTCCCTTCTGGATGAAGCGTAAATGGAAATGCCTATAGCTTTTAGACAACAGCTTTCAGGCCACCAAAATAGCTCTTACCCCGAAGACAGTGAGGCTGGCGTCAACTGGGATGCCAATAATGATTGTTTTCAAACAGTTTTCTTTTTGCTTAGATCATGTTGTTACAAACTGATCATGTTGTTACAGACTGATCATGTTGTTACAAACTGATCATGTTGTTACAAACTGGTCATGTTGTTACAAACTGATCATGTTGTTACAAACTGATCATGTCGTTACAAACTGATCATGTCGTTACAAACTGATCATGTCGTTACAAACTGATCATGTCGTTACAAACTGATCATGTCGTTACAAACTGATCATGTCGTTACAAACTGATCATGTCGTTACAAACTGATCATGTCGTTACAAACTGATCATGTCGTTACAAACTGATCATGTCGTTACAAACTGATCATGTCGTTACAAACTGATCATGTCGTTACAAACTGATCATGTCGTTACAAACTGATCATGTCGTTACAAACTGATCATGTCGTTACAAACTGATCATGTCGTTACAAACTGATCATGTCGTTACAAACTGATCATGTCGTT